TTTGCACTTTGAGCAGGCTGTGAAATTTGTCCCATTGCCTCTAGGTTAGCTGGTGCTACATGTAAGGGCCAATTCCTAGGCCAGAATTTACTAGAAAAAATAGAAATATCTGTCCCAGTATCTAGAATTCCTTTGATTTTTTTATGATTAATTTTAAGTTCCAATAAAGGGCTCTCCTGTAGCACTAATTGAGACCAGTACATTCTGTCTGGCGGTTTGGAAACTGAATTTACTTGAGGGTGTTCATCTGAATCACAGGGTAATAAAATTAATTGGGCAAATGTATCTTTTGGAGTAAGCCGTAGGGCATAATTGGACCTTAGAGCAACATTTAATTGTCCTTTAAAATTAGAATCTATTRCTCCAGGTATTACCTCCAAGGCCTCTTTTAAATCATTATGTCCCAAAATTAAACCTATACTTTTTTCARGGAGTGGCCYGAAAATCCCAGTAGGAATTTGTTTTGGCCCTGATTCAGGATTTAATTCCATTGTCACTGAGGGTCATAAGGAAAATGGCAGCCTGCCATGGCCAGTGCCAGTCAAACTGTGCGACCCCTCCTCCAATTCCCCATTTCTTTGGTGGGACCGGGGAAGGGCCGCGGAAGGGCTGATTGGAAGTTTTTTTCCCTGCCAGGAGGAAATGACAAGAAGGCGGGCTGACCAGCGCCATCTTGATCCGCCACGTGGGCCCGAGCCCTGTAATACTTACTGCCAACAGCAGAGGGAGCCCTGGACTTAACATTAGGAGCGCGGCATTCCCGGGCGTAATGACCACTTTTCCCGCAGAGGTAGCACCTCCCGSGGCGTTTTCGGGCCAATTCCTGTGGCTGCAAAGTTTGTTTTAATGCAGCAGCTAATGTTACTATTTGTAGATGAGTCCAATCGATCTCAGAACACAAACGGATAAACTCAGAAACTGTCCCTTTTTTCCTATGGGGTCTGAGAACAGCCTGACAATATTTATTTGCATTTTGAAATGCCAATTGTTTAACAATGAATTCACGAGCGCCTGGGTCTCTTATGGAACGGTTGGCTGTCTGATACAGTCTCCCTACAAAATTAGAATAAGGTTCACTAGCACCTTGTCTAACCTTAGTTAGAACTAAATTAGATTGGTCTTTGGAAACTATCTGTTTCCAGGCACGTTTGGCACAAGCAGTTATCTGATCATATACTGCAAATTCATAATTTAACTGTCTTTTCAAATCGGTAAATTCACCCGTTCCTAAAAGCATTTCCACTGGTGTCTGGAGATTCTGTCTCCTATTCCTTTCTGCTTGTTTAGCACAAAAATCAGACCAGTAGGACTTCCAAAGCAAGAAATCCCCGCCACTCAGGCAAGCTCTAGCTAACCAAACCCAGTCACTCGGTGGGAGCGGTTGTGAAGCGATAGTCTCCAGCAAATTTTGCGCAAAAGGTGAATTTGGACCGTAAACCTCACAAGCGCTCTTTAATTCCTTGATAGTCTTAAAAGGAATTACCGCGTGGACGCGAACCCGCTGATCCTGTTCATTAATCTGCTCAAAACCTGGGAAAAGTTGAAATTCGCTAATGTCCTCCCCCGCTTCCTGTGCCTTCTTAACACCTGGCTGGAACGGGGTAAGGAAAGTCCTTGTTAATTCAGAGTACCTGTTAAATCTCGTCTTTTTAGCAGACAATGGCCGAATTCTAATAGCCTGGGCAGGCAGTGTTAAACGCAGCCTGTTAAAATTTCCCCGCAAGTCCTSSATCTCAATGTCTGATTCCTCTCCCTCAGACTGCGACTCCTCAGCTGAGTTTTCGCTGTTGCCATTTTGAAATTGGGCTTCTAAGCCACGTGGTGGAGAAGGGCTTTTTACCTCTCTAGGAATTTCTTCTGGATTTTCCTCTCCGGGAGGATTACTTTCTATCCCTCCAGGAGGACTTTCTATGCCTCCGGGAAGACAACTATCTATCCCTCCGGAGGCTTCCTTTCTATGATCTTCGTCTCTATGATCTTCCTCCAAGTCACTCTGACTCACTTCAGGCAAGCTTACATTTCTCACTTTCGGTTTAGCCCCGAGAGCTTTTGTCTTTATCGGGCTTAAGGGAAAGGAGATTACCTTGGCCTCAGACAGGTTTTCCATTTGAATAGACTTAATGGCTCTCTGAATACCCTTCAATAGATATTCAGGGGGCCATGGACTCTGGCCCATGTAATCAAAAAGACAAATTTCTAAAGCAGTCCATACTCTTTGAATGTTATCAAAATTTCCAGGTAATTCATTAGAAAGGCAGATTTTATGTAATTTCCTTCCTAATTTGTCCCAAGTATGTAAATTTGGCGAATCTTGGTCACAAAACCAAGGGCAAAATTCACCTACAACCTTTAAGAATTGTAACAACTGAGTCTTTTTTATTTGCCTTCCTTTCTGATTAATTATCGTTTCTAAAATAGTCAAGTACATGTCCTTATCAGTAGAAGTTGAGTTTCCCATTATTAATAATTTTAACGTCTCGTCGCTTCAGTACCTCCTGGTACTTTTGTGACCCCAAAATGTCACCAATTCCTTATTTCTATAGCGCGCTCACACCCAACCTAGTTAATCTAATATGTCCCCTCTTGGGCGCCACTTCTGCCGTAAACTAACTAGTGAGATCAAATTAAAGACACATAACTCTCAAATTACCTTTTTCTTGCCCAGCTCAGAGACACTCCTCCTAGCTCCTGCCTCTAGCCACCTGATGGGGCAGCGAGGCTTACACAAGAGACCAGCAGGAGAGAGGAGGAAGCACACCAGAGAGTGAGTTTTTATTGGGGAACAAAAAATTCAGGGGAAAATTCCATCCAATGAAGGTCGAGGGGGACAGCATTCCAAGGTCAGGGTCAGTGATTGGTTTTCAGGTCAGTGGTCAGTCACACCCCCACACGGACAGGCCCTCGCATCTGGGAAGGGTGGGGAAAGCTCGGACACAGCTGGTCTGAGCRCCTCACACCCAGCCAGGGAAGTAGCTCAATCATGTGTGAGAACGGCTTCCCACAAAACTTTTTTCTTTTCTATCCTTCATCAAAATAGACTTCATCCTGGCTGTGCTCCTAGGAAGGTAGAAGTGGGTTTCTGCCCTCAATTTGCAGAGGTTGAAAGAACTGAAGAACAAAGAAATAAAGTTTGTAGGAAGAGAGTAGGGAGAAATAGAGACTAAAATCTTGTTAAAGGTGCTAAATTGTTTTTTCTCAGAAACATGTGTCACCACTTTTGGCTGAAATCTCAGGATTCAGTTCAAGCTGTTTCTGAACACCTATTTGTAAGGCATTATGCTGGGGAGAAAGAAGTAATAGTGTATCCTAACTGCCTTAAAGGAGATGAAAGCTGTCGGTTCCCAACTGACTCACAGACGTTTACAGATGAGAATATTAATAGCAGACAAATAGGGAAGTCTTGATGCCTTAAGAAGATTCCATTCCCACCTAAGCTCCAGGAAGACATCACATTCTGGTCAGATTGAGGGTATTTCCAGGAAAACCAGAGATTCTATAACACCCTTTCTATCTCTTCCTGAGTGAATATGAACTTTGTAGACAAAAAGCAAGTCCAGGTGGACCTCTAGGTTCTGGATTATGTATGAGACACTTGGCCAAAATGAGAATAAGACCAAGTGAAGACCACCAGTCTCAGTCCCAGTTGAGTCCAGTACAGAGTCCACAGCCAGCTGTCACATTTGGAAGTCCAGCGGGAACCCCCTATCTATTGACAATGAGGAGGAAGAAGGGAAACTGCAGTGATGGAGAACCACATGGGAAAATGGGCATGAGTGGAATGCAGATATCAGAAGAGGATCCTGCAAACTTTGAAATGGAATTTGCCTTTAAATTTCTGCAATTTTTCAATAAATCAAGGAGGAGGGGTAAATTTTGCTATCTAGTCAGGCACAGTGGCACCTGCCTGTAATCACAGTGACTCTGGAGTCTGAGGCTGGAAGATCACAAGTTCAAGGCCAGTCTCAGCCATTTAGCAAGGCCCTAAGCAACTTAGTGAAACCCTGTTTCAAAATTAAAGATAAAGAAGGGCTGGGGAATTGGCTCAGTGGTTAAGCATGCCTGGGTTCAATCTCCAGGACCAAAAAAAAAAAACAAAAACTATCCAACTTATTGTCGTAGACACACAAGTAAAACTTAAAGCCCACTTATTAAAGAAGTAAAAAGATGAGCTCTGGATTGTGGAAATACTGAGTTGCTGTTGTTGTTTTAAACAYCATTTATCACAACCATAACACAACTTCAAGACACACATTTTTGAAGCTGAAGWAGAAACATGTTACTTAGGACTTTATATCAAATTAATGTAGAGCAGTGATTAAAAGCATGTGCTCGGTGTGGTGCGCCTGATGCTTATGGTACAGCTGCAGTGGGAAACAGGAGTTTGAGACGACCAGCCTGGGTAACATACTGGGACCCTGTTTCGGCAAAAACAAACAAGAAACCTCCAAAGAACATGTACTCTTGTGTAATAATGCTTTCTGGTTTTGAATCTCACTTGTGTTTTATAATACCAAGAACAAAACCTAGTGTAAATATGGACTTTTATTAATAATAAATAACGTATCAATACATGCTAGGCAAGCACTTTTTTATTTGCCTGAGCCACAACTCCAACCCAGATACACTTTTAAATCTTTGAAATACTTTGGAATCATTAGTCTTGCAGTTCTTGGTGTCTTCCCAAATACACAGGAAATCACTATTTCATGCCCCAGCTTAGTGTAAGAGGCCAAAGGTTTGGTAATCATGGTCAGACCTCAGGAAATGTGAATTCTGACTCTGCCAAATACCAATTGAATCACCTTGCCAGGTAATTTTATCTGCCCGTGAACTTCTTCCCTTACCTCTAAAATAAGGAGTATAGTTGAAGATTGAAGAGTAAAGATGTGAAAATCTCTGTAGAGCTGGGTGCAGGGGTTACTTTTGCCTTCTCCCCTGGAGGCAGTGACCACAGCAGTATGTTGGGCTTCCCACTGAGACAAGCTTGTCTGTCTTCCCAGGGTGTGAGGAGTACAAAGAACTCATTAAATCTGTGCTGGAAGAGGAGCTGCAGTCTGAAGAGGGCGGTGTGGCAGAGGAGTTGAGACGAGGTGCAAGACTTGGGTAAGGAGGTACCTGCATGAAGATCATGAATACAGCTGCCCAGGCTGGTAGAATAAAAAGTGAATTTGTGCCAGCAGAAGGGCAGAAATGCATAGGATAGGCACAGAACTAGACAAAGACAATCAATGGGGCTGCTGTCTACTGAGGGCTCCAGGGCTCTCCATTAATAACATATGAATCAAATGGAGACAGAGGCCAGGGTTGGAATAATAAGTATTGGCTTCTAGCTTTGTGTCCTTGAGCAAATTTACCTAATTTTCCTGCAGGTCAGTTCCCTCAGCTAGCTCATCTGCAAAGCGAAAATATTGAGTATCTAACTCAGAGGGTTGCAAAGATTAAATACTGAATAGAACCATCTCTGACACATGGTTCTACTATAATCATTATACTTGCTCTATTTTTATAGGTGTGGATTTGTCATTAATGAACTTTTCCTTTTTTCTTTTTAGTACCAGGGGTTGAACCCAGGGGTGCTCAACCCCTGAGCCACATCCCCATCCATTTTTATTTTTTTTTCTTTTTAGTTGTAGATGGACACAATACTTTTATTTATTTATTTATTTATTTATTTATTTATTTATTTACTTTTATGTGGTGCCAGAGATTGAACCCAGTGCCTCAAACATGCTAGGCAAGTGTTCTGCCACTGAGCCACAACCCTGACCCCTTTTTTATTTTTTATTTTGAGATAGGGTCACACTAAATTGCTTAGGGCCTTACTAAGTTGCTGAGGTTGACTTTGAACTTTCTATCTTCCTGCCTTAGCCTTTTGAGCCACTGAGATTATAGGCGCGCACCACAGCACCCGGCCAATGGGCTTTTTCTATGAGAGATATTTTCAAGTTTTCCGAAGTGACTTTCCATGCAAAAGTGTTTCTCCTTCCCACTTTAAGTATCATACTATGTAGAGTATTAACTGTTAGGACTACTGGACAGAGAACTGAGTGGTTGTTTTCTGGAAAAGGCATTATTAATTGGCTCTGGACCAGCACTGCCCTTCCTTGGAAGATTTCAAACATAGGATAGATTGTGATGTTCCAAAATTTCTGTTGACCTTTTGTTAAAATGAAATCCTAGAAATTTAAATGTGTAAAACCCACTAACATAGAGATCTTTGATCAAAGCAGGCATAGGTCACTTCCCCTAACACTTCACAAGAACCCTGGAATAATTTGGACAACAATCTGTACTTTGTAGGAAAGTTTGGAGGAGATTCAGGCGTCAGATTGGCCAGGTGACTGTAAATGTTAATCCAGTTTTRTGATTACATGAGTCTAAGCATTAACTGAACAACTACTTATATGTGTAAATGCTACTTACCGGGGGCTGTAAGTTGGGTAAGATGTGTCACTGTTGCTTCACAGAGCTCACATTCTACATTGGAACCCATAAGAAATATGTGTATAATAATTAAAAACAAAATCTCCCATAGAGTGAGAACTTTATTTACTCCTGATTAGATTTATCTTCAGGTCCTTCAAAAGAATGCTGTCCTTCTTGACCTTTACACTGATTTTTCTTTTCATCTTTCAATTAACACCAGATATACTTGTCCAACGTTTCTATCCCTGGCTTATTTGGTCACTTACTGCATAATGCTCGGTGTATATTATAAGGAAATGGACTTGGGTTGAAGTGAGGAACTAAAGGAGCATTTTAAAAATATGTATATTTTTAGATGTTGATGGACCTTCATTTTATTCATTTATTTATATGCAGTGTTGAGAATCAAACTCAGTGCATCACATGCTAGGCAAGTGCTCTACCACTGAGCCACAACCCCAGCCCTCCTAAAGAGGCATTTTGAAAAAACCAAGTTAGTAAAACTCCACAAACCCAAGGATGCTTCTTTGTTCCATTTGCCTCAGGCAAGTCAGACAGCTTGCACAGGAATTCAATTTGGCAAGTTCCTGGGGGCATTCTCAGAGACATCTCTGCTCCTGTAACTACCATTCATGACGTTCACTCCTACAGTTCACTCTTTTTTTCCACCTTAGGAAATCTGATAGCCTGTTTCAGGCTCAGGCCCAAGAACTGACCTATTTACGGCAGAAAATACAGGAAGGGAGAGGTGTCTGCTATCTTTTTGCTCAGCACGTGAAAAATGCAGTCAAATCTTTTGAGAGTGTCCTCAGGAGCACTGGCGTCACCAGCTATCATGGACAAAGACTCTGTGAGCAACTGACCCAAGGAAGCAAGCTGGCAGAGCACCTTGCCCGCAGGCTCACCACTGGTAAACTGGCTACAGGCTCTGAAGATGAGTTCCTCCCAGACCCCCAAAGGAGCAGGAGAGAATGCAAAGTTTTTCCCAATGTAGATTATTTTAGTTTTGAGTATGATCTTTAACCTACATGCTATTATTTCCTTTTTAGAGAACCCAGGTAAATACTTGTAATGTTCTTTTTTGTTTTCTTTTTCTTTTTTTTTTTGTACTGGGAATTGAACTCAGGGGCACTCAACCACTGAGCCCCATCCCCAGCCCTATTTTGCATTTTATTTAGAGACAGGGTCTCACTGAGTTGATTAGTGCCTTGCCATTGCTGAGGCTGGCTTTGAACTAGCCATCCTCCTGCCTCAGCCTCCTGAGCTGCTGGGATTACAGGCATGGCATGACATTCTTTCTTGAGTCCTTAGTCTTTAATCAGTAAGAGGTAGCTGGTTTACTTCATCTTGATGAGTGTGAAAAGAATTCATCTTTATTTCTGAAAGATATTTTAATTGGATATAGGATTTTTGGTTGAATCACCCATGAAAACATCAGAAGCATAGCAGAGACAGACTGAACCTGGAGAGTCCCCTGATTTTGGAGTGGAGGTAGAACAGGGTCATTTGTCCTCTCCTCTGAGAGTGGGCTAGGTTCTTCATGATGGCAGTAATGGTACTCACAGCCATGGTCTAGCAACCAGCCTTGTGCAGAGAATAAAGGTTATAGCTGGAGAAGTTGAAGAGCTGGGCAAGTATCCTGTAAGCTGGTGAAAAAATCACATTTTTAACTTTTTGTGAATGTCCTAATGATAGTTTATCATGTCAGGAGCACCCCTGCTCAGAGAAGTCTGCCAGGCTACTTCCCAAAAGGTACAACCTGAGGCTTCCTGGAATAGTTTTCTGAGTGCTCTCAACAAACATATAGCATGTTATGTCCCTGATCACACAGCCCTCATGTCTCCAGTGTGTAAAATGTGACCTATTTAACTTATGACGAGATCTTCTGCTTTTTTTTTTTTTTTTCCAGAAAATCATAGTAAGAAGGATGAAGACAGACAAAGGCTACAGGCTGTCAGGTAACTGAATGATGAAGGCTGATGATGGAATGGTGCCATCTAGAGAGGATTCCAGAGGCAGGGAATTAAGAGGTCAAATGTCTCAAATTCAGGCAAAAACCAGAAACTGCTTATTATACCTGTTTCATTTAATCATTTTACAGTGATGGATCCTTTTCAAACATGGTTGTCTGTCTGACACAATGGCACACACCTGTAATTCCAGTGACTCTGGGAGTGAGATAGGAGGATTGCAAGTTCAAAGCCAGTCTCAGCAACTTACTGAGTCCCTAAGCAACTTAGTGAGACCCTGTCTCTAAATGAAAAATAAAAATTCCAGGAGATGTAGCTAAATGATTAAGTGCCCCTGGGTTCAATCCCTGGTACCGTAGAAAAGAAATAAACAAACAAACAAATTTACAAACAAACAAATATAAATAAAATAAACATGGTTGTCTGTTTTGTTTCTAGCTCTTGAATTGTTTCCCATTTCTGAGTCTCCTAGCCCTCCGAAGATGGCGTGCAGCTGTCTGGGGAATGTGTTATGCTCAGTTCCTGTAGGTTCTTTTTTTTTTTATTATTATTATTTTAGTTCTAGTTTTGAACACAATATCTTTATTTTATTTATTTATTTATTTTATTTATTTTTTTTTTTTTATGTGGTGCCAGGCATTGAACCCAGTGCCTCATGCATGTGAGGCAAGCACTCTATCAGTGAGTCACAACCCTGGTCCCCCGTAGGTTCCTCCCGAAAGTTTGGGTAACTAGTCAGTCTGACCAAAAAGTAATTTGAGCAGGAATCCCTGGTTTCTGTATTTTAAAAGCCTGTGTCGTTAAAAAGCAAAGTGAGGGACTGAGAATGTAGCTCCGTGGTAGAGCACTTACCTCCCACGTGCAAGGCCCTGTGTTTGAACCCAACATCAGCACCAGCAATAACAACAACAAAACTAAGACAGAATGAGACACCTTCCTGCTTTCTGCACAGAGTCAGAAAGTATGTTGGCAGATGTTTCACAGGCAGAAAATTACCTTGAAAAATAAATCTGAACCATTCAAGAGAGAGGTCTAAAAGCCACAAGAGTCCTGGGATTGTTATTGTCTCAGGATTCAATATTCAATGAACCACTTCATATAATGCCGGGGTCCTGCCCTAGCGGGGTCCAGGGAGTCCTGAAGGAGGAGTGGTGTTGGCGAAAAGATGAGACAGGAGTTGTTCCGTTCGAGCAATCTCCAGAGAGAGGGCTAAAGCAGCTTTCTCTGGGTCCCCTTTTATTACAATTTTTCTCATCATTATAGATTCACAATACGTCATTAATTATATGATTTAAAGCTTTGCCAAGACATGACATTTCCTTAACCATGATTGAGGGCACACCAATCTACATCCTTCCAGGATATGACCCCCAGCCATACAATCATCAAAAGTACAGAATCATCAATAAAACATGTCACCAATTTACAYCCTTCAGATTTTCCCAAGATTTACTATTTTTCCCAAGATATGTTATTTTCTTATTAACTAATGCCAAACTACGTAACCAGACTCTAAGTCTCCTAACCAATCATTAACTTAAAGTACACTTGTACTTTATTTTTAATCTAAAATTCCCATCTAAAAAAGTCCCTTTAAATCTTATATTTAAAATATCCTAAAGTTTATGAATCATCCTTAAARCATATCAGAAACCTATACAACTAAAGACTTRAGAATTTCTAAACTTAAGAATCTAAATAAAATAATATTTCTAACATTATTCTAAAACTGTGTCCTATAAAGCTATTTTAATTAATTCCTAAATTTATTCTCATAAAACTGGTTGAGCTGCTTTCTCAAAGAGTTTCTTTGTTTCTTAGTCAAGGTACACTAGTTCTCAAAGAGTTTGTTTCTCAGTCAAGGTGCACTAGTTCTCATGACCTTTCAGAGGATGATTGTTGTCCGTTATTAGGTTTGTCCACAATGTACTAAGATAGAAGAACAGCCTTCTACTTTGTCCTAGATATGCTGAGGGGTAGTAGAACAGCCTCCAAGGCATGAACTACCTGTTCTGTTCTAGCCATCTGAAATTTAATTTGTTTGGCATTTAACATACTCATGCCTCCTGTGAGAAACATCAGCATGAAAATGCAAAGTCCCAATTACATAAAAAAGGGTCTCATGGTTTCGGCTACCCACCAACCAGCGTGGCTTTGCCAGCATTCATCCTCACTGTGACCCTGTCAAGACAGTGGGAGAGCGGCTTTGCCAACACTTTTTCTCACTGTGACCCTGTCAAGGCAGTGAGTGGGGGACTGCCTTCACCAATATAATATGAAGTAAAACTCGTATGCAGCCTTGTGAATCCAATATCATAAATCTCACTGTGGCTTAAGTGTCATTAGCATAATTGTCTATTTCCTCGTCTATTTGTTAAGAGAGCTGGATTCTAAGTACACTATGTCCCAAGCACAAATGGATCGATGCACTTCCTCTTTGGTTTTCAAAGCCTCTTCCATGAATTTTGGATCAGGACTAATTATTAAGCTCTGGTTCTAGACTGCCTTGATTTAATCTCTTGTCCCATGTACCCCACCAGGTTCAGCAGGGAGGTCCCAGAAGAGGAAGCAAATGAAATCCTGGAAGACTCACTAGATGAACAGTACTTGACTCCTTCTAGCCACTGTGACTGTCAACAGCCTTCTAGCAGCAATGTGATCTTGTCTAATATGCAAGAAGCCACCTCTGCTATGGGCATAGCCAGTGAGTATTCCTCTTAAAAAGAAAATAAGAGTCCAACAAACTTTCCATAGCTTTTATATTCTTCATGCTCACCAATGCTATCTAGACTGAGATCAACTCTGCCGTGAGCCCTAAAGATTCTCCTTAAGCTGGGTACAGAGCTATGTGCCTGTAGTCTCAGCTTCTTGGGAGGTGGGCAAGAGGATTACTTGAGCCCAAGTGTTTAGGGCCATCCTGGACAACATAGTAGGATCCTATCTCTTTAAGGAAAAAAAAAATCATCTTGAAAAGGTGATTGGGCTGAACACAAGTGTCAAGTCGGATAATTTGTTTTGTTTTGGGTCCATGCCTCATCCCAGTTACTCTGGGCCCCAATGTCACATGCCCGGGATCTAACAGACTCCTTCTTTAAGATGGGACAGCTTATCTTTCCTGAAATGTTCTTGATAAGTTTTTCTAACTATTCAAGAATGGGGGAAATCTTGCCTATATTGCAAAAGTATGGTTCCTCGGCTTCAGTCTCAGTTTCTTTCCCCCTTGGGTTCTTTTTTTCCACATAAGTTTCTGTCTGAGGAGCAGAATATCAGGTGACTTCCCTAAAGACAAGACTGATTTTGGCAACCCTTTGGTACATGGCCAAAGTTCCCATCTGTGTGTAGCACCGGGTTTTTGTCTGTTTTTTGAAATCGTTGTGGATTTGGTCTAAGTGCTCTAAGCTCATCCGTCTGCGCTGAAGGAAAGGCTGGATTAACAGCAACGCCCCCAGCATGTCTCCTTCCGTGACCTCAAGCTCTTCCAGATGAGAGGCCCGGGCTGCAGCTTCACTGATGTGTGCGTGGATTAAAACCTCAGTCTCCCTCACTTGTTTGACTTTTCTTTGGGGATAAAAGTCTGGATTGCTAGGAGACTATATGCCTTATATCTTCTTCTAGGCCAGAAAATAGACCATATTGATTCATTCACTGTTAACTGAGTTTTTAATAGTGAAGTAAACAATATCAGGTTTGTCTTTCAACCTCTTTGGGTTAGTAATGGATGTAAGTTTGTGCTTTTGATTACTCAGATCTTCCCCTTCAAAGGCATCTTCATGCCAGGTCCCTTCATCATTTGTTAAAGGGATGTGGTAGAGAGAAAAACATTCCCTAGAACTGAAGCAAAAGACTCTGACCATAATTACTCTTCTCTTGTCAGAGAGATTTTTATAAAGAGTGTCTTAGGATTTCACAGGAGTTCTGTAGAAAGCTCTGTGTGGTTTGGAGCTTCCTCTTCCTTATAAATACCAGGTYTGCAGACAAAATGTGTGAAACCCCTGTCTCGCCCAAGAATATGGGATAAAGAGTAACTGTATGCTCCCATCCACTCCAGCTGTCATGTAACCACCCCCCGAGTATGAATCTAAAAGAATTTCCAGACTCAGGGTCCAGAGATTTTTAGGCATTATCCCCTCTGGACCACTGCAGCTTAAATAAACCTGCTTCCTGAAATTCCCCAGGTGTCCAGCCTCACTGCCCTACCTTGGGTACCTAGGGTTAGTCACACCAAGGAGGTGGCCACACCTTTCCCGGTGCTAGGTGGCCCTATGGGGAGGCCTTCAGTGTTCTCCCACCTCCTGTCAATCTCCCTGACACTTCTTAAATTCTGTGGAGTCCGCTTAGCACTTGACTAGGCTTTGTTTGAAACCCTAAGGGCTCTGGAAGTTGCTTGGGGTACCTGGATGAAAAGGTGAGATTGGCAGAAGAACAGTAAAAGGCCGGACCTTGAGGAGAGACCCTTGCAACCACCTGATGACAAAGACTCTTTTTTTAAGTTTTCTTAGTTGGTTCTTTTTAGTTACACATGACAGTAGAAACCATTTTGATATAATTGTACCAGCATGAGATATGTCTTGTTCTAGTTAGGGCCCCATTCTTAGGGATGGTGGGATTCACTATATTGTTTTGTACAAGCCCCTAGAAAGATTATTTTGGATTCATTCCATGGTCTTTCCTTTTCCTGTTCCTCTCCCTTCCTTCCTTCCCCTTTGTCTAATCTACTGAATGTCTATTCTTCTCCTCCCCCCACCCCCCTTACTGGAGATTTCTCAGAAAACTAGGATTGGAACCACCCAACTATCCCACTCCTTGGTTTATATCCAAAAGATTTAAAATCAGCATACTACATGTAGCCACATCAATGTTTACACCAGCTCAATCCACAATAGCTAAGGTGTGGGGCCAACCGAGATGCTATTCAACAGATGAATGGATAAAGAAATTGTGGTATAGATACACAATGGAGTATTACTCAGCCATAAATAAAAATGACTTTATGACATTATTTTGCAAATAATTGGAGACTATCATGCTAAGTGAAATGACAAAGATTCCTTATCTCTTACCTCATCTCATGTCTTGGTGGAATGGCTACAAAAGATGAGATGTGGAAGTTGCAGCAGCACCTGAAGGAAACCCTTTTCATCAATGACTGCCTGCGAGAAAAGCTGGAATATCACCTCAGCATCTCTGACCGTGGAAAGGGTAGGAGAGGGACAGTTGGCAGGGTTCTGGTGACCTTGACCTTTCTAAGGACATGTCACAGGGGCACAACTTCACAGATTTTAAGCACTTTGATATACCTTACTTCACTTATTTTCCCAAATGGCCTAGGTGGGAAGGAGGTCGGGAACTATCATTCCATTTTATAATAAGCAGGTTTAGGTAGAGACTTGTCCCAAGTCCAAACTATGCCTCTTAGAGCCTGTGATCTCCCATTCTTGTGACTTCTGTCTGTGTGCTGCATGTTGTGTGTTTGTTCTTATTCACTGGTGATTCAGCAGGACCTAGGTTTCTGGGCTCTTCCTTCATCAGGAGGGAGGTCTCCTCTGCTGCCACTGTCATTCACTTTCCTGATGTCTCGGTCATCATCATCATCCCCAAGAGTGTTCTCCCTACACCCTCCTGTTAGAGTGCCATCCCATGGAGGCCATCCTTCTACAGTATTGTACGAGGCTAGAAGGACAGTGACCCAGTCCCTTCCCAGACAGAAGCAGCATTCAATGAGTGGGAGAAGCCTCCTTCCTATTGCAGCCGGCCAGCTAGAAGGACAGTGACCCAGTCCCTTCCCAGACAGAAGCAGCATTCAATGAGTGGGAGAAGCCTCCTTCCTATTGCAGCCGGCCATTGCATGTGATGATGCCTGTGAAAGTGACTATTCTCACTGAAGATCCTGTGAAGATTAAGCTTCTGCCCCACCCCAGTGAAGCCCCGGCCCTTGAGTCCCATGGTTTTCTTCCTGGGCTGAGATGGAATGGAAGGACATGGAATTTCCAGAGAGCTTTCTCTTAAGCAGATGTGTGTGACTTGCCTAAGTGTGATTATTCCCTGGAACAGGGTGTTCCTCCAGCCTCCACAGGCCGACCCTAGGTCCCATGGCCCAGCCGGGTAGTGAAAGCAGTGACCTYGGGAGGAATATCAGAGCCTCCCTGCTAGCCTGAATTCTATTTCCAGAGGTAAGGGGTCAAGCTCACAGTGTGAGGTCACTCTTAGAATGATCCTCTCTCTTGCCACACCCAAAAGAGAGAGGGGAGGCCAGAGCTGCCAGAAGCATAACAGTGGGATTCGTCATGCCATTATTTGTACGTGCACATAACATGGTTTGATCTACCTCATTTCCCTTCACCTTCCCTTTCCCTCCCCCTTTTCCTGCCCCTGTCTGCTTTCTCTAATTTACTAATCTCTTTTCTATTATTGTTATTACATTATAATTATATAAAAATCAAGGTTCGTTGTGGTAGATTATACGTGGAAATAGCATAATCTGATAGAATTTATTTCCTAGTTTGTCCCCGTTCTCTGCTCTCCTCTCTCCTTCTGGATCCCCTTCCTGTTCTCCCTTCTATCTTAATGTCGACTTAATGTCGTTAAATAGTGCTGTCATAATAACCTGGTGAGTTTTCAACTAACCCAATGCCCGGACTTTATACCTGGAGAATTTAAGTGGTTTCAGGGCATTAAGTAGTCTTAAAAACTCCCGAGTGATTATAACATGTGGCTACAGATGTGGACCATAGAGCTACTGGATGTCTGCAGCTAGCTTCACAGAAAATCCATTGATAGAATTTGCCTTCCTTTCTAGTGGTTTTGTTTTTGTAGCATGCAAAAAAAAAAAAAATTAAAAAAGAGAGAAAAAGAGGCGGGTGGATTAGACCTATAATCTAGCTACATATAGCAGAGTCTTTTAATTTTTTTTTTTTTTTTTTTGCAGGGGGAGCGGGTACCAGGGATTGAACTCAGGGGAACTCAACCACTGGGTCACCTCCCCAGCCCTATTTTGTATTTTATTTAGAGACTGGGTCTCACTGAATTGCTTATGCCTCACTTTTTGCTGAAGCTGGCTTAAGTCAGGATCCTCCTGCCTCAGCCTCTCAGCTGCTGGGATTACAGGCGTGCACCACTACACCCAGCACTTTCAAACTTTTTTTTTTTTTTTTTTTTTTTTTAGTTGTAGATGAACACACAGGATCTTTGAGGGTCGAACCCAGTGCTTCACATATGCAAGGCAAGTGCTTCACCACTGAGCTACAGCCCCAGCCCAACTGTCAAATTTTTTTGAACACAAATGTGGAAAAGATTAGATGATGAAGAACACCTAAGAATGAGAAATAAGTACTTTTTCACTTTTCATTTGAGACCTTTGTTATACTGAAAATATTTTTGGAAATGCTGATAAGGAGCATCCAGGTATAGAATTAAGTTTGTGGAATGTTGGTCTCTACTGGATTAGCCCAAGATGGCTCTTTATTTGCTAGGGTTTTTTATTCTTTGTGATGAGTCCTTCTCTGTACCCCACCTTATCTCTTTAGAAGAACATTTACATGAGTCTTTCTGTCCCAGCCAAGGTCACCCAACAGCCTCTGGAGCCTGCTGGCTTCCTTCAGATTGAAGCCTTTCAACTCTGACATAGTGAAAAAGTGTTAAGGCCTAGACTTTAGTACCAGGTTTTCCACCTGCAGCTCATGTGGCTTTAACTAATTTCAACATCTTGATACCACTGTCTTCTC